ACGGGCAGCCAAACGAGAAACACTGTTAGTAATAGTCAAAATAATATCATTATTAGTACCCGAAAGACTAGTACTAGTGCTACTAGTAGTAATAGTAGTAATAGTAGTAGTAGTAGTAATAGTAGTAGTAGGAGGAGTAGTCGTAGTAGTCGTGTAGTAGTCGTGTAGTAGTCGTGTAGTAGTCGTATAGTAGTCGTATAGTAGTCGTATAGTAGTCGTAGTAGTCGTAGTCGTCGTAGTCGTCGTAGTCGTCGTAGTCGTCGTCGTAGTAGTAATCGTTACTAGTACTACTAGTACTAGTAGCACTAGCAGCACTAGTAGTACTAGTAGTATTAGTAGTACTAGTAGTACTAGCAGTACTAGTAGTAAACGTAGTACGAATAGTATGAGTAGTACTAGTAAAAGTAGTAATACTAGTAGTACTAGTTATACTAGTTGTACTAGTAGTACTAGTAATACTAAATTTGTATTAAACTGGTAAATAATGTCATTCAAGCTAGGACCCGCCTTATACGATAAACTAAAAAAACAAAAAAGAAACAATTTCGACCTCCTAAAGACTAAAACCCTAACCGCCCTTTTTCCGCGCAACCCATATTATATATATTTATTTTATATTTATTTATCAATATTATAAAATAATAATCCTAATAATTATTTATTAATATATAATAATAATTATTTAAATAAATCACATAATAATAATAATAATATATAATTTATTTTTATTTTTTAATAAATTATCCAATATCTAATTTTTTTTAAAAACAATCCTAATTCGAAAATAATTTTTATACCTATTACATATTTCAAAATAAATTAATATTTAATTTATCCAATAAATTAATTAATTCGAATATAAATTTTAAATTTAGAAATAATAAATATTTTAATTTCCTAAAATTATATTAAATGATTTTCAAGAAATTATAATTTTACGTATTTTTTAGGTATCTAATTTATCCAAGAGAATATTATTTATATAAAGTCGGTTCTGTATAGAATAGTTCCGAAAATTCCGATGTAGTTTCGGAGGTTCTATAGTAATCTCAATTTGGATTCCCGTGTAGTTTCCTGGATGTTTCCAGAAATTCCAAGGTAACGATTTATATTTAGGTATTGGGAATCTATGGGATAATATTATTTTTTTTTTAAATGTATGTTTTCGGTAATATTACCTAGATATAGGGTTTTGTAGTATTTCCAGGAATAATAGTAAATATAAGACATTTAAAAAGGATTTGCAAAAATATATTTTCGTAGTAGGTGCAATACAAAAGACATGTTCATGAAAGATATTAGGAGGTCAGGGCGCATTTTGAAGTATCAGATGTGCAAGTTTATTAAAATAATTTTGCGCGACGGGTGCAGTACTTCGTATAACCTAGCATCAATTTTCCGTGCAAGCGCAATACTTTAGACAGGTAGAGTGGAAAAAGCGCAAAACGCATTGGTACGAGTCTATCAGCTCTGCATTCAATTTTCCATTTTTAAAGGATGTCTCGCAGAATTCTTCGTTTTTGATGTCTTGTACTTCGAAAAATGAGGAAGTCTCGCATTTCGGATGTTGTCAAGTTCAAAAAATAAAGATGTCTACACGACACTAAATTACACTACACTAAATTACACTACACCACACTACATTACACTACACGACACACTACATTACACTGAATGACACTGCACCACAGATAGACAGGTCGACAGATAGACAGATAGATAGATCGATAGATCGATAGATAGATAGATGGATGGACAGACAAGTAGACAGCTAGACAGATAGACAAATAAACAGATGAAAGAGAGAGAGAGAGATAGATTAGATAGATAGATTAGATAGATTAGAAAGATAGAAAGATAGAAAAATAGAAAGATAGATAGATGGATAGATGGATAGATAGATAGGATAGGATAGGATAGGATAAGATAAGATTAGATTAGATTAAGTTGGGTTAGGTTAGATTTGATAGATAGATAGATAGATAGATCGATAGATCGATAGATCGATAGATCGATCGATCGATCGATAGATAGATAGAGAGAGAGAGATAGATAGATAGATAGATAGATAGAGAGAGAGAGAGATAGATAGATAGATAGGTAGATAGACAGATAGATCAGTAGGTAGGTAGGTAGATAATCAGAAAAAGATAGAGAAACAGAAAGAAAAAGAGAGAAAGAGAAAAAAGAGAGAGAGAGAGAGAAGAGAGAAAGAGAAAAAAGAGAGAGAGAGAGATCAAGCACCTTCAGTTCATCAATGGCTTCGCTCTGCCATCCCTGATTCACAACAACCAAGCTCTCCTATAGGTTTCCTATTTTTGAAACTTCCGCCACCGCCTTGTGCGGTACTACTGGTAATTCAGATTAAGAATTTGAGGGACTATGAACTGCAACCTGTCGGATTCTTATGCAGCACTCGGGCTGTGTTACAATTTGTGGATCAAGATAATATGGACTGGGAGATATGGATCTTGTGTGGACCCGGGCCTTGATCCATGCGTTGTATTTTATGTATTTTGAGTTGTTTCCACCTAGGACTTTCGCACAATTATGGTTTTCGCATCAGCTGAAAGCAAGGACATTTTCGATTCCATGAGTCCATATCCACATAGTAAATCAATGTAAATCATCTTTAATATTGCTCGTATAATATTGAATTACTTTATACTCAGAATTTAAGATCATACAGTATCATAATGTATCATACAGTAATCTTTTGACTGCAATATCTTGCGAATAATTGTGTTGCTGTATGGCTCTTTGACCATCACTGAATTTAGAGTTCCCTTGAACCCTATTGTGGTCCTGAGTCGCAAATGGAAGCAGCCAAAGTGGTCTTCACATGTCTTCACCATCCCAAATGAATCCAACCGGCGTCGCGAAAATCACCTTTTTCCGCATCGCAACGCCACCTCGTACTTCTGGTTGGAACAGAATCCACCTGCTTCTGGACTTGCCCGGTGCCATATGGTTTCCAGTTTTCCATGCTTTTCCGTTTCGCAGATTCAGTTGGTGCTGATTTTTTCTGGCGTACTCATTGATCATCGCTTCTGTCCAAAAATGGGGGATACCATCCAAACTTGCCAGATTCAATGGAGAAATGATGATCCACCATCCATTCTCTGTTGATATTTCTGATCATGGCTGGATTCCACCGAAAAACAGCAACAAATCAAGGTGACACCAAAGCCCAGGACAGCAAGAGGATCACAGGTGCTGGATGCTTCACTTTTTGGCCATACGTGTAATTGCCCTCAAAAGCTGCTTCTGTGTTGAAGAAGACAATGCCACCTCAAGATCGTTGAGGTACTGGTATTTGGTCTTGCAATGTGATAATGAAGAAATGGAACACACATTAATAAGACACATTAATAACACTAACAAGAACAATTCAATCACGTCCCCTTGCGAGGAATCAACGGTGCGATATGGTGCGATGATAGCTCAAACAAAGCAAGCTAAACACAGCTGGTTTACTGGTAGCATTTGCTACTTGTCTGGTCTCAATCTAATCTATTTGCAGCGCACCAACCATCGTTGTTCCGTTCCGGCCAGTCAGTTATGATCCCTCTTGCCAATTATATCAATTGTTGAATACCTCCTGGAAATCATGGTTTAACATAAACCCCTTATTATATTAAAACCATGTGTGTTATATTTAATACCTCCTATCAATGGTTTAAGAATCATGTTTAATTGCATCTACTCATTGAGGGTAGCTGCCCAGGGTCATCGGATGATTTGCATTCGATTTTTCAGTCTGGCCTGATTTTGCCGCATCTCCAACACCACCTGGGGCAAGGTTCTGCTATGAACCAAGGTTGTGGCATAGCTAGAGTAATGGATGTTTTCTGGATGCCTAAATCATCTAAATCTAAATATAGAAGCAAAGGAATTCAAAGGAATTCATCATTCGTTTGGCATGGCCACGCTCTGAATCTGAAAACTTAAAGCTGCAACTGGACCTCCTGTGCAAGGGAAGGAACATCACCACAGGCCTCCGCTACAGTGCCAATCTACATGCTGGTCTGCGGGCAATCTGAAGCCGGTAAGTGCGATGGTGCGAAGCATGAAACAGCACTGGTACGTAAAGAGGTACCTCGAAAACGGCATGGAACATCTGGCTCAAGAAGGGCTTGTCCTAAGGACACGAGCTTTCGCTATCTTTGGGTTGGGTTTGCAGGGTGAGTCATTCCCAGCTCGTGTGTAAGTAGAGCAGGCGCTAAGAGACACACAAAGGACGTAGCCACCTTGCACTCCAAAGCATGCATGGCCATGGGAATTGGATGGAATTGGAGCAATTTCAGCAGGACCATCCCGTGAATCCATGAGATAAAAACGAAATCCTACCAGCCTTGCGGATCAGTTTGAGAACATTCTTGATGTAAGCTTCCTGGCCACATGCAGTTCTGACTGCTCATTCGGAATGAATCAGACATTTCCGGCTCCTGGACAGCAGAGCATTCGCCATCCGCCTCAAACTCCGACATGGGCAGATGCGCCGTCGTGGAATGTTGCTCCGAGAACGGGACCCTTTCTCCAAACTTGGTGATGCCTTTGACCATAATCGAACAAGTGAACCTGTCATTGAAACTCATGCTTCTGCACAGCCACAAGTGAACAAATCATGATTTTGCTCCGTTGTGTCATGATCACACGTATTAGTTAGTGCATCATTTCTTCTAATCCCTTCACCCTAATATTAAACGTCTCCCCCCGAAAAATAAAACCTAGGGGTAGCTTTTATTATTAGGATGTATTTAATATTCGGGGGGGGAAGCGGCTCCTAACATTAAATTAAAAACCTTAATAAAAAACAAAATGTTCGATTTCAAAATCAATTAAATTCCCTTTTACAGTAACATCTAATTAAAATATTGCCAAAAAATGCCAAAAATTGGATTTCGAAGCTTTCCCCTAATATCAAAATTAAAACATTACTCTATATTTTAACAAACGGACCCTAATAAAAAACACCCCGGGGCCAACTAGTTTTCATTATTAAGGGGGTAGAACCTTCAAACGGACCTTGATTTTTGCATTGTTTTCTAAAGGGGATACATTAAAAGTCAAATTGGCCAATCTGAAATTTCCCAAACCAAATAATCTGGGGTAGTTTTTATTATTTAGGGGAGATTTAGTAATAGGGAGAAGGGATTACTATAGAAATCTAATATTTGTGTGCAGTGTAGAATGTATCTATACCTGGATATTCATTGGTTACAAATTTCTTTCCAGACAGGGCAGATTTTGGTTTGATTTCTGTCCATTTTTTGTAGATTTGCCCATTTCAAAATAAAAATGACCATTTCAAGAAAAAACTTGCCACTTCATGTTTTCATTTTCTTTTGAGTCATGATGAATCTGCCCTGGTATTTCCGCCCTTTTCCCGGGTATTTCCGCCTTTTTCCCGGGGATTTCCGCCCAGAAAAATCGACACATTTTTCCGCAAAGTAGAGTAAGATCAGCCCAAAAGGCACGAAATCCAAAATTGGCCACAGTAGTCAAAATGACCATTTCCAGCTCCTTCACAAGAAATCCGCCCTAAGGGCAGAAATCTTGCAAACGGACAATTATTTGTGTCCTTTCGAAGATCCAGGTATATAATATCATATAATATCATATAATATCATATAATACAATATAAAATAATATAAGATGATATAGTACAGTATAGTATAAGATAATATAATATAACATATATAACATATATAATATATAGTATAGTATATAATACATAATAATATTACAATATATAACATATTACTGTATAAGATAGTTGCAACATGATACATTATGAATGTTACACACACACACACACCACAAGTTTGACAAAGCGTTTTTTTCAGGCGAAGCAGGGCGTTTGACCAATTCATCAAGCTGTACCTGTCTGGAGCGAAGCCAGCAACCTCCATATCATCAAGCAGCTGCCACCTGATGACGTGAAAAAGGCTATGATTTTCCAATATTTTCCACTATTCCATGCGGATAGTCAATGATAGTAAGGGGCGTTTTTTTCGAGTATCTATCACATCTATCATATCTATAGCTTCCATTAGCTTCCTAACTATCTCCATGTCTACCATAAAAGGGGGCACCTTTGGGAGGGGTTGAATCCCCATGACATCGCTGTGAGGAAAGGTGAGAGAGGGAAATGATGGAAATGTAATTGCTTTGCAAAAAGCTTGTTCTTCCTTGCAAGTCTACAAACTTTGAGAAATCCTGAATTCATCCCAACGACAGATTTTTGCATGCAAGCTGACATGAATCGTGCAGGTATATATAATTTCTGATGTTAAAATCCTCTAGATCTACCCACTACACAGCACGTACAGTAATTATTCGACATTCCGAGACAAGAAATTCGAAGTACGCGTCGCGGCAAGGCCGCGACGCGCGATTGAACTCACAGGATCGCACCGCTGTATCCTTGGAGTAGAACGGATTGGCCAAAAGATACAGCATATGCAATGCATATGCCGTGTCCACCTGTTTCCAGTAGTGTAAGCATGTGTAAGCTGTAAGCTCCATGTATGTTCTCCCTCATTCTGACTCCAAGACACGGGTTCACCTGTGTCCCCGTAGGATCCCGTAGGAATGTAGATGGGAGTTCTTCTTTGCAGAATTTATTAGTTCATCAGGGCGAGTCAAGCTACGTCAAGCTGAGACCCCGTGCGACTATGGTGTTGAAGGTAATAGCGTTTGGCCTTGGCCATTGACGGTGACTGTGCCTTGGAGGCTCTACATGGCGGTTCTTGGTGCCGGTCTTCAAGTCACGAAGAAGCAGAGATTGAAAGACCTGCACCATTGTCAACCCACCACAAACTTTGGATGCCTGAAAAACCCCTCCAGCTGGTAAGTCAATATATTACATAATACATCATAGTACAATATCATATATAATCTCAATCTCATAAAGTCTTAAAGTTGACCAGAAAAACTCACTTCCGGGCTGTTCCGGGCTGTTCTGAATGCCAAGATGGCCCTGGCCACGACTCGGACGACCTGGCCACGACCTGGCCTGGTGGGCTTTGATGAGATCGCTGCGTTGTGCATAGCCCTTCAACAGCGTGTTGTACGATACGATGTCCACCTGTGGAGCCTCTTGGATCACTGCTTCCACCTCCTGGATCTGAGCTGAGTCAGCTGAGTCAGCTGAGTCAGCTGAGTCAGCTGGCTTTTTTGCCCAAGTAAATAGCCATTTTCATACGGAGCATATGGGAATTTAGCCATGAAATCTGAGCTATGAAAAAGTACTGCCAGCTTTTTTTGCTATGATCCAAAGTTGAAGAAAAACATGGAAAAATTCCACATCACTTATCCATAAACCATCCATAAACCATCCATAAACCATCCATAAACCTACCATTTGGGGATGGTTGAACTCTGACCTAGTCATGACCTATGTCATAAGGTCATCCCGTTATGGTTGGTTTTCCTATTTTTTTCCATAGACCCATCATCCCAAGAATCATCACATATAATGTTAGAATGGGATGATTATTGGGATAATATTGGGATGATTATTGGGATAATATTGGGATGATTATTAGGATAATATTGGGATGATTTTTGGGATGATATTGGGATGATTATTGGGATAATATTGGGATGATTATTGGGATGATATTGGGATGATTATTGGGATATTGATATTATTGGGATGATTATTGGGATGATTATTGGGATAATATTGGGATGATTATTGGGATAATATTGGGATGATTATTGGGATAATATTGGGATGATTTTTGGGATGATTATTGGGATAATATTGGGATGATTATTGGGATAATATTGGGATGATTTTTGGGATGATATTGGGATGATTATTGGGATATTATTGGGATGATTATTGGGATGATATTGGGATGATTATTGGGATATTATTGGGATGATTATTGGCATAATATTGGGATGATTATTGGGATAATATTGGGATGATTATTGGGATAATATTGGGATGATTATTGGGATATTATTGGGATAATTATTCATTTCGTTAGATGTTGGAGACACCATCCGGTGTCATCAGCTCCATGGTTTGCTGAAAATCCCCTTATGGCTAGTTCGAGGATTTCCCAGCTAGCCATGTTTCGTTACCAATGGGCTCTACTATCTCCCCATTATATCACCGTTATATCCCAGTTGTGGTTGATTTTCGACCCTAATGATCCCATTGTTAACCACTATCAACAATTCTTAACCATTATTACCCTCGAACAAACATAGATGTGGAATGATGTGGAGTTGACCCACCAAAAAAGTCATAAAAGTAGATCCTTTTCCCAGAAAAGCAACAGTTTTCATCAGATTCATCAGTTTCCACATCTTTTTATATGTTTTACCGGGTACAATCCACCGCTCTCCATGTCTTTTTAGCCCTCCCCACCGCTCAGCTTCCTCCAGTCGATCCGCGACAATCCCAGTGCCCAGCGCCACATTGAGTGCCAACGTGTCCACTGGGACTCCTTTGCCTTGGCGGAACCAATGGGAATGGCTCAAAATTTCAGATTGGGAGGCCACAGATTGGAATATATGGAATTTATTGGATATATATATATAATATAATATATATATCTATATATTATATTATATTATATTATATTATATTATATTATATATATTATATATATATATTATATATATTATATATATATATATTATATATATTATATATATATATATATTATATATATATATTATATATATATATTATATATTATATATATTATATATATATATATTATATGCTGACCCCCCTGAAACCTACCGGTTTTACAGTGATTTGGGCTTGTTTTGCCTTCAAAAGCAGCCAGTTTTTTTTAAAATTCATTTGAATACTTTGGATGCTTGAACGTGATGAGTTGTGATGTTTCATGTGTAGATATAGTTATAGTGACATGTTTTGATGGTATTTGCAGCGTTTTCGACTGCAAATAGTGCGCCCAACAAAGAGTTCCAATTCAAACATAGACAGAATGCGCACGGCGCTGTGGCCAAACGTCAATTTTAAGTCTTTACATGAGTTTTTGCAATGTTTTTGTTCCTTCGACACATGACTTTTGGATTGTGGACACCTTAAGATCTTGCAGACATATTATTTGATGATCAATATGGCAAATATTTCTTTGGCCTTTTTTACTCTGTAGCTTCTCTCTTGTTGTACTACTGCAGCTCAATACTTTGGATGATGTGTGGGTCTTAGGAGGTCCTAGGACCTCTTAGTCCATACCCCTTCCAAACTATGTCTTAAGTATAATTTACGGTACGTACCTCGAAGTAGCTTAACCTCTCTGCAAAGTTTCCCTTAAGTAGTGATTTCAAGCCACATGAAAAAGATCATTCAACTTTGGGTCTTTTCCCCAAACCTAAAAAAGGCAGTGAAAACGCTGTAAATGACTACAAGAGACGATCAAACATGCATCCTTCTCTTGAAGAATCAATTCTAAGTGACAAGAGCAGGCTTTACAAACAGACACTTTCATTCAAAGGGTGTAGCATTCCTTAAGCAAAATGACTTTCCTTTTCAATAGGTAGCATTCCTTTGCAGAAAGCCACTTCTCTATAATATATCTCTTCATTTCGATCAATCAGTGTTTTTTCCAACATGTAAATATGCATTCTTAATTCACAGACCCATTTCATAACGTAATAAGTACAATACTTCTGGAAGGAAGAAACACGTTGCACAAACAGTCCCTGCAACATACAAGGCATCTTCCAATCAAATGCAGTATCTCTTCAAATCAAATAAGACTATCTTCAGAAATGTAGCTTTGAAGAACATACATGTTTTCCCTAACTGACACGATATTTGTTGAAAAACAAGTTGGATGTTTAAAAGAACATGCTGCACATGTGGCGCGAGTACTGCTACATTGTGCTTTCTAGAGTCAGTATTCACTAATGTTTTGACAGTAATTGTCTATACTTGAAATGAACAAATGTGAGCCGTCTTTGCTTAAACAAAAACATCACACATGCTACCTTTGTGAGATTGACAGTGCCCCTTCTGAAGAAAAGTGACTTGAAAGGGCACAGCATTACTTCAATAAGAACGCTCTCTTAGTCTATGCAGTCTTCACTGGAAACAATAATTAATATAGTTCGAAAAGAGTTGTAGTGTAGCATTACCTTTTTGCAATTTTCCATTCACAAGAGTGATAAATTCCTTAAACATGGTGGAGCATTCCTTCAAGAAAATGCATTGCTTTGGCGCAGTGTGTTCACTTATTTTTCAGGCTTGGGGAAAAGACCCAAAGTTGAAACTTTTTCATGGTAGTTAAATCAATCCCATCTACTTAAGGGAAACCCAAGATGGATGCATTTCCACAGGAATGCATTCAGAATGCATTATTTCCCTAATCTAAGAACTAAGATCTAAGATTTGCTCAGGAGTCTTTGGGGAATCTTAGATTTAAAACTAAGAACTAAGATCTAAGATTTGCTCAGGAGTCTTTGGGGAATCTTAGATTTAACACTAAGAACTAAGATCGAAGATTTGCTCAGGAGTCTTTGGGGAATCTTAGATTTAACACTAAGAACTAAGAACTAAGAAGTAAGATTTGCTCAGGAGTCTTTGGGGAGTCTTGGGGAATCTTAGATTTAAAACTAAGAACTAAGAACTAAGATTAGCTCAGGAGTCTTGGGGAATCTTAGATTTAGAACTAAGAACTAAGAACTAAGATTAGCTCAGGAGTCTTTGGGGAATCTTAGTTCTTAGTTCTTAGTTTTGGATCGGAAATTCTACGATTTGTTCAGGAGTCCTGAGGGAATCTTAGATCTTAGTTCTTAGTTTTAGCTGAGAATGCATTCTGAATGCATTCTTCCCAGAATGCTATCATTGAGGTTAAGTTTAAGCAGTCTTAATAGCATGCTTACTACACTACTATGTATTGTAATATATGTATATACAATACCCACTCTTGAAACTATTGCCAAATTTTCCTCAAAATAGGCGTGTCTTTGGACCCAACCATGTGATGAATATGTAAAAAAGGTAGGTTTCAGGCGGGGTATTACATATATATATATATTAATATACGTATATTATATGGATGTTCAAGATGAACCATCCCCAAAAAATGGGATACTCAATGACTTGACACATACCGTATGGCCCATATCCAAATGATCATTGGAAGTGATCTTGGCATGTGAAGTTTCACACACTTCGGGTGAAGCCATGCAACGTATTGCATCGTCACTCAGCCAAGCACGCTTCATGTCATGAATGATGCCAATCGCAGAAGGCCAATCCTGCTTCAAGGCACCACCTGGGTCACCTCCCTGCTGAAAATCTTAACATCTGGGGATGGGTCAAAACCCTGGTACCTAGTGAACCCCAAGTCATAGCTGGGATTTATGGATGTGAATAACCCACTAAAAATGGTATCTATAGGTATTGACCCATACCCATCTCTTTTTCTTCCCGGGATTTTTGCTGCAACTTAACTGCTGTGTACTCTGCCTGCCGCATGCTGTGCACTCTGAGCACCGTCATGTACCTGCAGCCGCAGGGAAATCATCCATCCCATAATGGCAATCTATGGCAAGCTATGGCACTATAATGGGTATATCCCAATGACAATGCATTGAGGACCATTGCCCAATTGTTTCTTAATCTAATCCAACTTTGACCATAGCTTGTAGTATATATACATAGAATATATATATATGAATATATATATGAATATATTCTAGTATATGTGAAAAACCTGGGCCAAAGCTCAAACAGTTCCAACATGTTCAAATCAATTAGACACATGTGTGAAAAAGTCGTTGCCACAACGGATTTTCATCAAATCTTTGGCATTCGGTGGCTCCAACAACGTCGCACGCCCTGATGGATGGAGTCGACTGGGATGCAAGAACTCAGCAGCTCTGGATTGGGTGAGCCCTGTCAACTGGATCGTCAACTGGATCTACACATCGGCTATTTTTGTTTATCGTGTATTGAACACATCCAATGTTTGTGGTCTGCGTTGGACCCATGGTCTGTTGGTCAAGTGTGACCCGGATCGTCATCAAATGCTATTGAAAGTGCTGAGGTTAAGACGAGTGAAAAAGTTGATTGCCCTTCGCAATTCACCCACCTTGCAAATTCAAAATGCCACACTGTACCTTGATCCCACATGATTCCACTGTACCTCTCAGTGTTTCCGATTCTGCTGATTCAGCTTGAGGTTGATCGCTGAATCTGTTGGTCGTCTTAGAGGTATAGTCACAGCGTGCTGTAATCACGATGCGTGACCAAATATCTCCATCATCTGAAACGATACTGGCGACTTGAATAGATTGAGTGACTGTAATTACATCTCTTCCTTCAGGCGGTCTAGAACGAATAGATCTCGGTGCACAAGTGGATTCAGCAGATCGTTATTCAACCAGAACCCTTTCCTACCTCCACCGCGAAATTGATCAGGCAACTAAGTGTGACCTGGTCATCCAAGAATCATCCAGTCAAGGCTAGCAACGACAGTTTTTCAAACGAAGAAAACAATTACGACGACATGCACAAACGCACAAGAACAAACACACAAACAAGAGAAACAAAAGGAAGCAATCAAGCTCAAGAAAAAGAAGAAGAACGTAACCGTATGTGTATATAAATATATACATAGTGAGTGCGAAAATGAAGAACGCTAGTAATCGAATAGGCACAAAACAAAACAGAAAATACAGATCATCGAAGAAGCAAAAGAAGAGAACACACAAAGAAGGGAACACACGACTTGACAAAATCTGCCGGCGTGACAGGTGAGGGTTGTAAACCATCCTTCGCCAAGCGCTCGTATACCTCGTTACATGTAGCTGCTGTCAGGACTTCAAAAGAAAAGGGAAACACCTCAACAGAAAAACACCGTATGATCTCCCGAAAGATCGAAAAAGTCAATCGCACCGTTCTTTTAGTAGGATTTTCATGGATGATACGTTCAAAAAAACATTTTTCAAGGTTGGCTATATTGTAATTGACAAAAAATAGGCCAGTCATGTGGACCAAAGGGCATGCGGTTGTTGGATCTTTTCTCCCAAATATCATTGCCGCAAAGGCTCATTCAGGGCAAGCTTGTACTTCTTAACTCCTCGCTGCTTTGATTCTGGCTTTGTTTCATTGATTTTTACAGTATACGGTTGTATGTACCCTCTGGTTATTTAGCATAGCTATGGACAAATGGCCCATTGATAGATGATTCAATGATTTACCAGTTAAAAATTGGGATTTGTCCAGTTCGCTACGTTAAAGAGCCAGAGGGTAGTTGTATACACGTTCTCTTAGGTCTCCATTTCACCACAAGCACCATCTCTATATCATCCATCCCTTGACCCTACCATGCCAAACACATCGACTGGTTATTAGTTTCAGCGCATCTCCGAAATACTTTGGACAGTTGCCTACTGTCAGCAAAGCTCTTTTTCAATCCCAATTAAAGAACCAATCGGATGAACGAGTCAAATACACATATGTATTAATACTATAAATGTAATCAAATTAATTGTTACTCAAATACAAGCAAATAGCTGATTCTGTGTAACTGCAAAAACATGCATGAAGAAGTGTCAAGTACCAGGAGTACCATCTATAGTTAGTACCATAACAGGTAGCTGTTCGATATGTCACGCGTAATCAACTCAGTCCTGCAAGCTGCTTCATAGTGCTCTCATAAAAGTGCAGGGGTCGGGCCACACCCTGAGCAGGGCTCGTCTCATGGGGTTCCTTCAACTGATTGAGGAAACATGTACCCACTGGTTATTTAACATAGCCATGGTAAGTCACCATTTTTAATAGGTAAACCATCTATAAATGTGCCATCTATACCATGGCTATGTCAAAAATTACCAGAGGGTAGGATATCCCCAATTCGTTGCCATGTACTGTAAATAATGTATTTTTTTGGGGGAAATCTAGGCAATATGATCAACGATTCTTCGATTTGGGGGTATGCTGGTAGACTCACTGCAGGTGAGGTCCCACCTGGTGAATCATGTCGTTCAACAACTTTTCCACAAGGTGACAACGACTGGCTCGCACAGCACAGTAGACCTCGGGGCATCTCGGGGCACTGTGTCGCTGACATCTCCAATGGGCAAACTATGGCAAACTGCTGGCCTTCGCTGCAACACGTTGCAATTCATCTGTGTATGCAGCTGGTGTAAAAGAATGGACAAAAACAATGAAAACCTCTGAAAAAGCCCCTGAGGCTTGAGGCTGATCCTTCAGTGAAACGTGAAGACTGGACCCGTGTGGCCCAATCAAATCGAACATCTGGCTTCATAAACATGGGAAACCAAGGGCAATGTGCCAGGTAAGCGGCGAGGCTGCTGTAGACATCTACAGAGGTGTGCCGAGCATGATTTGCCACCTGCAGCTAGGCTCTTTGCATCTGGTTGGACGGCAGTTGGACGGCGGCCAATCACACAAAACCGGGGGATTCAGGCCCATGACCCATAAATACCCATAAATACCCATAATGATGATCCTCAATTTTTTCAGCATAATCCCCAGTATCTACTCAGAAAAACCAGTTGGGTTTCTGGATCCCAGGCCTCTGGCAGAGCCATGCCTCTTTGGGCAAGTGTCTCTAACAGCTTCTCGTACATCTGCATCACCTCGAAACAGTGGTTGGCTCCCTATGTGAACCTTTTTGACATTGACTTAGTGTCACAAACAGATAAACAGTAAGCCACTTGCAACATTTATCAACATTTCACATTGCTCATCAAACTGGCGCGAAAACATTCAAAGATCCCTGTCACCATACCGTCAGCCTGGTTCACAGTGCGAGTACTCTGCCTGGGTGATTCGCATAGTGTCAAACAAGCCCTGAATGTTAGACGTCCCAGTGTCCAATAGATATCTAGCAGATCCATTTTGCTCAAAGTCTGCCTGCAAGTTGGCATTCCCCTTGGGAAGGTTTTCAAACCACATTTACCATACTGTCAGCTGGATCTCGTTGTGAGTCGAGCAGAAATTGTGCAACTGCGATCTGGACGGGTCTCGTGCATGGAGGGCAATGTCATCAAGGTCGCAAGCCAAGGCCTATGCGAACGTGAGCCAGTCGTCTACATTATATATAACTAATATAGAGACAATGACCACCATATATACAATAATACTATACTATATATATATGATGCATCTCATGAACACATATAATGTATGATATAAACTGATAAAATCTATTCATAATATATTAGTAAGACAATGATAATATAATATAGATCATGATAACAATGACATAAATTTAAAGTGATATATATATAGATCTACAATTGCCGTGCATGTTCCTCTTCTGTGCCAAGGTGATAACCAAAAATGATGCCCGCGGCAACTGCGACCTGAATGAAGTTCTTTGCAGCTATTGACCACTGCCTCAATGAAGGCAAGATTTCCGTACATTGCCCAACTTAAGGTCCATTCTTGAGGTGAGACTCGGCGACATATGTATAATTAATTATGTGTGTACTGTATTATAATCTGGTTGGTGGTTTCAACCCCTCTGAAAAATATGCTCGTCAGCTGGGATCATTGTTCCCAAATGTTCCCAAGATATGTGCATATGGAAAGTCATAAAAGCAATATAAAAGCCATGTTCCAAACCACCAAGCAGTAATGTATGGTATAGTGATCTATAGTGTAAGGCCACTGCAGCGATCCAGGGACTTTGGATTCAACCTCGGATCTGGGCACCTTGGTCAGTCTCCGTGAAATATCTGGAAGGCCGTGTAGAATCGTGTAGAACTAGATACAAGAGGCTGTTGTCAATGCAATATGCAAAGTCGAAAACCTATGAAAACCTCATCTTTGGTCCATAGATGTCCATAGAGTCTGTACCAGCAAGTCTCTTAAGCACTGGCAGCTTCATCTGCCAAGGCCATGGCTTCGCGCACATCGCGCCTCAGAGGAAGTGCAGTGGAAAGGGAAAGGGGACTGTAATGTCAATTGGGGACACAATCAAACACAAAGCAATACACAAAAGATCACAAAACAATGCAAGACATATGAGATTCTCATCATTGATGATCGGTTCTCTGCCTTACTTGAGACATCTGGAGACACTGGAAATCTTGCGGAAAGAGGACAGAAAGAGGTCTTTTGGTTGCTTGGTCTGTGGACCCACCTTGATACCAGCATTATGTATTTTATTTGTTCCTGTTGTCGACAGTGCTGTCCCTCCCAGGTTAGCTATGGAAGCGGCTCTGAAAAGATAACCTTGGGAAGCTTCTCCTGCCGCCGTTCAACCAAAACCGCCGAAATCCTGTGGTGAAATTCCGGTTTTGGTGGTTCTGTCCAGGTTCTTGACGGTCACACCCCCATCTGTGCTGCTCAAATCCTCTTTACATCTCTTACTATATGGAGGTTCCAAAGTCATGGGGGTCCCCCAAAAAAATCATTGGACAACATCCATTTTGTAGATGGATGTTCCATGAAAGAAACCATCCAGCTATTGGGATACCCCATGTATGGAACCCCCCAAGTGCTGCCCACACCTCCGAGGATGCGAGCTTGGCTGCGTGGAAGCGCTTGGTATCAAGATGTCTGAGGCACAAGTTGACAAGGGCACAGGGATGCAGCCAATGAAAACGGAGATTTAACCCAAAAAAAATAGACATCACAGGGTCCAAAGATGAACATCAACAAACAAAAAATGTGGATATAAAAAGGAATGGTTTCGGATCAACATGACATGAGTGCAGCCCATGCTGGCAACAAATTGCTCCGTTGGAGCCTCCACGCGAAAGCGGCAAGCAATGTGACCAGGAAGACCACAAGTTCAAGTCCAACAAACCTCTCGCTGCAGAAATCGAACGGCAGAGGCAACAAACTGCTGAGGCCCCAGCTTGAAACCAGCAACGATGTCTGAAAGGTCAAAAGCAATGGATTGTGCAAACATCCTGAGCTCCGCTTCGCCAAACCCTGGTTTCGCCCTCTGGATGGGGAACTGATATGTGCTGTTCGTGGATGCCAGTATGCACATGTATGAACTAAACACACCAAAACACACCAAAAGAAATGATTGGGAGTCTAAAGATCGAATGACATATTGCATGTCTTCCTTCCGAAGAAAGCATTTGATGCGGCAAGTCCCAAAAGCCTGGCCACCATCATTAAGAAATATCAAGGCTAAGAAAGACTAGCAACTCCTGTCAAAGCATGGCCTTCATGGGCATGGCGTCTCTAGGAAAAATGACCTTTTTGAAAGAGCACGGCTTGAGATCCAAGGCACATCAATTGATGGAGCATCATGTTTTACCTTGGGCCCCAAATACCTTCAAATACCTTGGACAAAAACCATGCGTTGGCCGGGATCTGCCGGGCCGAGTTCCCAGCAATTCGGCTGCACCACAAACCTTGGCTGAAAAAATCCGCACACGCACAAAGATGTAGCTGTAAATATGTGCAATACATACATACAACAATACTAATATGTATACATGGCATTATACACATATCACACATTGTAAATTATAAATATATATATATGGAGGTTTCCCAACATGGGGGTACCTGGGTACCCCGCCATCCAGTGGGGACGACACTCTGCCGCTGGAGACCTTTCCCGCCCCTCAGAGCCAAGGTGCTAGGAGCGTAGTTAAAGCGCCATGGCGTGACTTGCGAACATTTTGGAGCCAAATGGCATGGAGCGATTGTCATTGCATGGCATTTCTCTCCAAGTAAAAAACATTGACAAGTCAATGGGCTGATTATTCATGGTTTGTCTGAACATTTAGGGCGAAAACGTCAGGTGTTCTATGGTTTATATATTTACTATGATTTTCACCGGTGAAACTGCAAGACAAACACTTGCGGAACTGTCCTTCAGCAGCCGGAGCTTTCAGACTCGGATGACTCGTCGCTCTCCAACGCCTGGCGCTGCCCAGATAGGAATGAACCCATAGCAGAACTATAGCAGAAAGGCAAACTTGTCCCTGATTTTTTTTCCGTCCTTGATCCTTGCCCAAACTGAGCAAAACGATGCAAAACGGCCATTATATGCTGCATCTGTCCGGAGCCTCCTCCCAATCGTTTCGCGCCTGGAAAAAAACCCAAGAGCAGGAGAAAACATATGCCCCATAGAGCTACCTCTCTGAGAGTCTCTCCCATCTCAGGATGTACCAACGTCACCCTACAAGTAACCCCAATTCTGGCAAACCTCGAGCCTGCCAGTAACTCAGTATTGCAAATGCAGGTATCCGGCGGTATCCGGGCAGAATCAAATACTCCTTCTGCTTCAGTATGATTCAGTCTGTACAGAGAGGTGACCACAAATCGGACCGCAGATGCGGTGACCACACGTCGCAGATGCAAGTCAGTTTCTGCCCTTACATTTCCCATGATTTCAATGATTCAAAGTGATGCAAGATGGCTTAATACAATTTGGCTATGGATCAAACCGCAGTGCCCTCAGTGCCCTGGTCTTCACATCAAATTCGCTGATATAGCTGGCACCACAACTCAAAGGCCTGCTCAAGTGCTCGCAGTCGTTCGCTGTGCACCTAGTGCCCAGCAGTGACCCTTCTAAGCCTTCAAAGATGCCTCTATAGTAGCTGGAGGAAAACATCGATGTCTCGGCCAAACAGTATTACCTCTGGTTATTTAACAATAGCCATGGAAAATCACCATTTGTAATAGGTAAACCATCTACAAATGGGCCATTTTCCATGGCTATGTTAAATGCCCAGATGGTAAATCCGAAGAACTTTACAGCATTACCCACTTTGGTAAGTCACATCTCCAACTAGAAGGTCAGGCTGCGCAGCCCCGTTTTTCGCCTCAGGGCTTTGAGGAGGGGCAACTGCTGCAGCCTCACCAACGAAAAACCGATGGAAGATGCGAATCCAAATGAAGATATGTCCTGCGATATGTCATGCCAATAATAATCCCATAGTCTTCAAACATATCTATACACCTGAATCATCCTGAATCTATACACCTGCATATCTTGATATAGATTGTAGATGTCGATGCACGAACAGATTACAGTACACATGTGCAAATATGAAATTGTAGATATGTTGTTGTTGTTGATGATGATGACGACGACGACGGCGGCGACGGCGATGAGGATGACGACGACGATGGTTATGATGATGATGATGATGATGATGATGATGATGATCATGATGATGATCATGATGATGATCATGATGATGATGAGGACGACGACGACGACGAGGAGGAGGAGGACGAGGACGAGGACGAGGACGACGACAACGACAAAAACAGTGTATGTTGGCGGCCGCTCCTTGAAAGGGACTCCTTGCATGTGCTTTCGAGAACCAAAAAAAATGAAAAATACTTTCAAGTTAACGGTGAATGAAGGTGACTGTACGACTGGTTGATGGATGTTGATGGTTTCTGTTTCAACGCCCTTAAAACATGTGAGTCAGTTGGGATCATCATCCCAAGCGGGGTTGAAAGTTGAAAGTAGAAAGTACTCAAAACATTTCAAAACAACCAGCTACATAACAATTTCGCCCCTAATCGAACATCATTTTGAGGAATGTCAGATCCCGCCATAGACTTTAAGCAACCTGGCACTCCAACCTGGCAGGATATTCAGGATATCTCCATCGTTAATGTGATGATATCTTAAATAATCATCTAAAAGTGATTATTTGGCGCAATTTTCCATTGCTGGTTTGGATAATGTCAACCCGGCATGAATAAACCTGGGGGGGTAACACCCCCAAGGTAGTGAAATCTAACTTTCTTTTGCCCCTATGAAGCTGAACTAAGGGTCACTATTAAAATACTGTGGGTTAACATTCCCAACCGACCACAATTTTTGTTCCGAAACTTCCCGTTCAGCACCTGCGCTTCTTCAGCAGCGCTGCTACGGACCTGTTCAGATTCTCTATACAGTACGTCGCTACCAATCTTTTCCTGGCTCAAGTCGACATCCGCAAATCATTGGAAAGGTTAAAAGTTAAAAGTTTAAAGGAACATCTACGCATTTTCAACGTTAAACAATGGGGCTTCCCGTATTCTTTCCTTCATTCTGGGGGCAAAGCGACATGTGCTTTCCTCATTTCCTATTATGATGCATCTCTTGTCCACATCCTGTGTGGTAAAGCACCAAAAGCAAGTATATCGGTCCATTAAATACAGTCAAGTGCCAGTGTGCTTCCAGCAAGGAGGGTCCAACAACATCAATGCATCAATCCTCTCCTTCAACCTCCGTTTTACACGGAATTGCAGAGTTGCCCATCCCAACTGTGTTTCAACACTTTGATTTCTCTGGAAGAAACATGCAGCTTAAAACTTCATGGAAGCTTCAAAAACAAGAACAAGCAAATCTCAGTGTAGCTTAAATCCAGTGGATGATCCATCTTTTTCCTTGATTTTCCATCGTTTTCCTTTGTGTTACCTAGGACATTTTCCGCCAGTCACCATTCCCTGCCTCCTGCGGGATGGGTTTGGGCAGCGCCCTTTTTCTGGGAACGGTGTTTTGGAGCCATGGATGTCTGGTGGCCTCGGCATACGAGGCCAAAAATCCAGGATGATCCAGGTGAGATGGATATCAAATATATTCAAATATAGTATCCATATATTATCCATATGTATATATATATATAATTATATATATATTTACATGTGATATTAAATATGGCATGGATAATATATGGATACTATATATGAATATGATTATCTAAGTGGATTATTGACCATATTTGATATCCATTTCACTATATATAATTATATATATTGTTTTAAACATAAAGTATGTATTCAATATGTTGTTTAAGTATCAATATTTGATATCCATCTTAGGTGAAATGTTCATTTGATATTCCAGGTGAAATAGTCACATATATAAATATGATTGAAATAATCAAGATATTTAATGATATCCATTGGTATTGATCCCTTGAAAATGATGATGAATATACCGTATGATTCAATATCAATGGTATCCAGTTGAGAACATTATGATCCAGGTGAAATAATCAAACTATTTAATTACAGCCATTGCTATATAAACCAACATGATGATAATAAGAGATGACGCAAATGGATATCAAATTGAGTCATCTAATGGATATTTACATATTGCGGGATGATATGATAATGGACAGCAAATATAGTCAATACTAAAATCACAATATGGATATCACATGTAGTTAATGTTTTACTATAATTCACTTGATTCACCAAAACATCACTTGATTCACTTGATTCTGCTCACAACAGAACACTCTATCATCAGACTAATTGGCTTAGACAATCAAAATTATATACATGGCGTGCTGAATGTGAACGTTGAATGTAATTACGTGTGCATAGATACTTCTGTGTTCATTGCTTACGGATAAACACATAAATCCATGAATTGCATTCTTCAATGTACCAGAAAAGAATCGGGAGGAACGTGCGTTTAGCACAAACGACTCAACCAATCCACATTGCCTATTGCATGCCCAAAAGTGGTTCTGAAGATTCGCATTTCACAAAACCGTAGCAATCTTTTTACGTGCAGTGATTTTAGGAATTGTCCGTGCGCTCGCCACATTTCCGAACTCTCTCCAACTAGCAGTATCCGGCAACCCTTTTGGCAAGGGTCCCTAAGGTTGTGTACCTCGTGGGGTGTTGTATGTCATCAACTATATAAACCATATTCTCAGTAATGCATAGCAGTAAGTTCTTATCCATTGTGCTTGCTGGCAGGACCATTCCAAATAGGCTGTGCTGTCAAAAAAAAATCGAACTTGATAAAAATTTTGATGATGAACCCTGAAAACAAATTGGACGCAGTAGTCCCGCAGTCAGTTTCCAAGCCTGCAACGCAGAGCATCGTCTGTTTGGGTCCTGCCAAGTAGCGAACAGCACGAGCGTTGAAATAGTCTGCACCAAATGGGTCTGTCTAAGAAAGGGGTATGCTAGGGAAAATGATTCTCTGTGTTCAATTTGGGGTACCCCATTTTAGGACAAACCCTCATCTTTGATAGATGGATTCCCGACAAACCCAGAGCTCCAACAATGTCCTTCTGGAAAAAGGAAAGGGGCCGGTCTGATAAATCCTTTACCAAAAATTGCCGATTAGTTATCAATTAGTTAATTATTAATCAACCGAAATAAACCCAGCCCTGGAAGATCGTGGACACAAGCGACCCCATGGTGGGTAAAACCCCATCGCTCCTTCTCCAACATCATGGACAAGCATTCCCTGCAACTTTTTGAGACCTAGGGCCATGGATTTCCATCGAGAAATTCTGGAAGTTTGGGTTATATTTTTTTCCTTGGACCAGTGCTTCTCAGATGGAAGAACATTTGCAAACTGCCAATGCAATGAATGCAAACTCAAGAATTCAAAAGGATCTTGCAATTGTTCTAATGAGACACTGTGTGTAATTATCATTGGTTGAATGATATTGTGTGCGTGCTCATGGATCAAAATTGAATCGCATAATAAATAGCTGATTCATGAGGGTGACTATAGCGCCCCGAAGTCTTTCAAAGCTGTGATCAGGGCTAAGAAGGCTGCCCAACACGTACAGTACATGCACGTTCATCTAACACGATCTTGCCGACAAAGGCCAGTTGCAAATCAAACAATATATCATTTTATCCTTGCATGTGGAAATAAATACATGCACATACATATATGTATATACGTATTATGATGCACGTGTAAAAGTAGATACATACAGGTGTGCAGATGTACTTGTATGTGTATATTTATGATTATATGCATGTGTAGGTATGTGAATATGTATATATATATATATATATCATGTATGTATAAATATATAATGTATAAAAATATATCATGTATATATATACATACTTCATGTATATATATATATATACTTCATGGATATATATATACTTCATGGATATATATATAAATTATATATATATATATATTGTATATATTTATATATAATGTATATATAATGTATACATACATACATACATACATACATACATACATACATACATACATACATACATACATACATACATACATACATACATACATACATACATACTTACATTACATTACATTACATTACATTACATTACATTACATTACATTACATACATACATATATATATATCATATGTATATCATATGTAATTCATATATATTATATATAAACATATGTAGGTGCAAATCTGTGCATATATGTGCATTATATAACCACGTAGTTAGTCATATATATACACTATAGAACCATACCAAACCATATTGAAAACATATGTGAGACATGTGAACATATAAAACCGTATATATATATATAAATAGGTATAAATTAAAAACCATAAATCTATAATATATAAATAAATATAAATATATTATGTATATTGTGTATATATCCCGCTTCTTATGGATTACAACCAACCCATTCTCCACCATCATGGCACTTCGCCTCGTAGGTACCGTCTTTGGACCTTGCTGTTGGCACCGATGTCTCTTGGAGTCAAGCCGACAAGCAACCTTTTTTTGCTGTGATATAGCCACTAGTCGCAGTTGTTTCGAGAACTAAGGACGACTCACTTGCAGTTATATTCAAGGGATTTCAAAGGTCAAACAACATCCAGTGTTGTTTAAACTGTCAGAAGAATTGTTCGTCAAAAGACTACATACCTTTCCTCTGCTGAAGACACTGCCTTGCCAGTGCGGAAATACACCCACCAAGGATTCAATTTGTCCTCATTTGAGTACTCGTTTGAGTATGGGTAGCAGGGGGAAGCGATCCCTATACCGCACGTTGTTATTTTAATACAGCAGTTCAGAATCAAGATCCATTTCGCACTCTCCTTGGCTTCCGATTTGAGGGGTTTCTGCTTCAGGCTCCCTGCTGAAAATTTGGAAACTCGTGGGGGCTGCAGACCAGACTTGCTAGCCTGAGTCGATGCTCAGATTCTTCAGATTTTCTCCAGAACTCAAAGACCTCAAACAGCCTGGTAGATCTGTAGATCATTTGGGGGTTTCTTAGAAAGGGGGATCCCCACATTGGTTTCAATACTAAAATCGCCTAATGGCTTGGATGATTTAGGGGTACTACATGGTACTACCATTTTAGGAAACCTCCGTTGAAGTTTTGTTCGAGGATTTTTCTTTTCCCATTAAAATACTGCCATGCCTTGGACATTTAAAGGCCATGTTTTTTCCCCTTCACCTGGATCGACGGCTGAGCAATAGACAGGGATCCAAGTGTATTCCCGCAAAGTTGTGACAACATGAGTATATACCAAGTAATCTATCTCAAGTTAACATATTCTTTGATGGTGAAAATAAAAGAACATTGATGATAGGACCTAGTTGGCATTCATCGATAGTACATGAGGTGTCCTAAAATGGCAGTACCCTTAAATAATCCATTTTTAGAATTTATAGATGGATTTTCCATCATAAACGATCCAGCTATTGGGGTATCCCCATGTACAGAAACTTCCCTTCTCAGCTAAGATGTCAGCTTCCTGGTGTCTGAAGCACTGAATGGCAGTTTGCCTCGCAGGATCTGCGATGAATCGTAGGAATGTGCATTGAAGTTAGGGGTTTCCTATTTGGAAGAATGTATGCAAAATACAGTATGGAAAAGCTAAGCATAGTCAGCTTGCAGAATACTACTATCAAAAATACCAAAAACAAAGTAGTAAGTAGCAATACAAATGATCAAAAAAAAATACGAAGAAACTTCCGAGTTACGAACAGTTAACAATCCCAACAATACGTCACCTCAATCATTACATCACTTCAACACTACATCACCTCAGTCATTACATCCCTCAATCACTACATTACCTGAACCGCTACATCACTTTAGCAACACATCACTTCCATAGCATCACCTCAATCATTGCATTACTTGAATCATTACACCACATCAATCATTACACAACTTCAACAATACATCACTTCAACATTACATCACTTCAATCATTACACCACCCCAGTCATTACATCACTTGAACACTACATCACCTCAATCATTACATCATTTTCTTACATGTTGTTCAAGCTACTTTTGCAAATTGGTAGTGACGCCACGAACTGCTGTAAATCAAAGCATGGTGCATCTGGTGTCGAGACAGGGGCGGTTCTTGTTTCGGCACTTGTGGGTATGCTCGTTTCATGTTCGGAGCAGTCCGCACTGTTGACATTGTTTCAAGGTTTGAGACATGCGGTGGACGTCTTCGTGCCATGGTGTTTTGTGAGGCAGGGTTGGAGATCGCCGTCGCATGGTGGTGCAGTAGATGTGGAAGCTAGTCCGGCGAAGTGGTAGTGATGGCACAAAATTCTGTATATTCCAGCGTGTTGCGTGTCTGGCGTCGAGATGGGGGCGGTTATTGTTTCGACTGTTGCGGGTATGCTCGTTTCATGTTCGGAGCAGTCCGCACTGTTGACATTGTTTCGACGTTTGAGACATGCGGTGGACGTCTTCGTGCCATGGTGTTTTGTGAGGCAGGGTTGGAGATCGCCGTGGCATGGTGGTGCAGCAGTTGTCGGAGCTAGTTCGGCGAAGTCTAGTGACGCCACGAAAGGCTTTAAATTACATTTAATATTACAGCACGTGATGCATCTGGCGTCGAGGTTGGGTCTGTCCAAAAATCGTGGATAATTACTTCTGAATGCCTGTCAATCAATGTTCTTTCCAATTTCCATGGCTCTGAAGAGTCCAGCTCTTGTAGCCGCGTGCAAACGCTCTCTAATTAGTAAAAATCTGTACATGATCACTGGCCTTGGTAGTCTGGCAAGTGCGTACTGTGCTCAAAAATTCTAGAGCTTTCTGACATTGCCTCATGCAATCACTCCAAAAGATCAGGATCAGATGGTGCAAAAGACTGGCTCGTACGTTGACGCTTTTCTGTACACAGCTGGTCAACTACGGCCTTTGCAAGCCCCGCTGCGAACAAAGGGGGATATTCCTTGCATACAGCTGTCTTGAACTTACCTTCGTGATCTTTGCCAATGGCGACCTGCTGCCGAAATTTGGCATTCAGATCCGCGCAAGTATACATGGAGCGAGCCAATTGCGGCATACGAAGGCTGAAAAGTCCAGTCGGCTTGCGCACTTCGGCTCCCCACTTCCATTGGTCAGAGATGCATAGAGCAATGTCCGGGTGTTTCAAAAGCAGCTGAATGATAGCACTTGTCAAAATGGACGCTTTGGCTTCGTCTTCCGGAGGAGCAGGGTGCTCACTCAAGAATACACCTCCGTATAGCAAGTGCCAGATACACACCATCACGGCCTGCAGCATGAAGGCACTGCCCTGCCTACATTGACTTAGTTCACGGGGGCGAAGTCCGTCCAGTCCAAATAAACGTGCAAAAGAGTGCAATGGCCTAGGCCACCTCTTCTTCTCACTGTCAGGCAATTCCTCAGGAGGAGGCACATGGCGTGCCTCTGAAAATGTTTCGCAAGGAGCTCCACAAATTCTAGCGGCGACTAGGCCTTGCTCATAAAGCTGTGCTAATCTCTGCCACGAGTGAGATGCCTCAGTCAAATCACCGTAGTGCGCAGGAACTGCCCTGTCCATAGACAAGACCTTGAGATCCAAGCCACGAGCACGTGCCATGTGAACAAGGTGCCAGTGCACATCATTCTGCCGTCTTCTTCCACTGAACAAATGTATAACAAGATAGGTTGGTCGCAAGGAAATCTCCTTGATCATGGGAACAGCTACGTCATGAGGTAGACGACAGTCCCATTTGATGTTTCTGATTTCATCATGCCATTCAGTTTGCTGCAGAAAAGCGTCTGAATAACATCTGGGTCCTTTCGGCGAGCCCTAACCCGACCAGCCGCCTCTGGATCATATTTAGGGCGATGGGTCACATCTTGTCGAATGTCCTCCGCTACCTTCTGAATGCATTGTTGAAGGAAAGAGATGCGATCTCGCATTTGACATGGCGGCATCCCTTTGGTCACCTCGTAGAATGCGTCATCTGCAAATCCTTCCGCCTCTCCATCCTGGAACTCTGCAACAACATCAGGCAGATCATGCTGGCCCCAGTATAGGAGACGGTCAGCATACCAATCATCAAGCTCAGGCGGCCATGTAGAAAGGTAGTCAAACCAGAAATCTTCAAGCGGTCCCACAACTGAGATGTCAAATGGACCGTCACAAAACTGCTGGAGCCATGTCTGTGTGGTTCTTGTGAGACCATCTCTCAGTTGTTCATCGGCTTCAGCTGGGCTGCGAGGCAGCTGGATATCGCCTAGGCGGCTTTCAAGCTGTTGGATCTCCTTCTGCCAGCTTTGGATCTGTGCCACCTGCTGCGGTGGGAAGTGCCCAGCAGGGCCTTCTGTAGGAATGGCTTCAATACGGTTCATGCCAAGCACCCGCAAGGGTAGCTTGGTCCTCTCATATTCTGCCAAGTACCAACTTTTCCTCAGCACCTGGTAGCAGGCATTACGGCCAGTGCGCCGAGAGATGTATGCAAGATGCTGCTGGAGCCTCTGCGTTGTCCGAAAGTGAGTCATGCACACAGGGCATGTGGCTCCTGTTAGGAGATCATGTTCCTGCGAGAACACACCATGTGCTTTCCTTTTATGCGTGAAAAGGCCTTGAGCAGTGTCAAAGTGCCGCCCACAGAAGCAATGGTAATCACCGTCCCCTCCAACACGCACTAAGAAGGCCGGCTCAAATGAGGCACTCTGCTTTTCAGGAGTTTGGAAGAACTTACGGTGCCATTTGTGTACGTCAATCATCATGGCCTCTTGCATGAGGTGAGTACGTCCAGCTCGCTTAATCAAGGCTTTCCAGCCTGGAGCTCCCTTCTGCCAGAACTCAATGGCCTCAGTGAGGTCAGTAGTCCAGTGTTCTGGGGTGCTATCAGGCAGGATGGACCGGAGCCACAGCAGGTCCGCAAAGAGTCCACTGATCCAGGGTTGAGGAAGGGTCTGGAACTCCAATATGGAGAAGATGGTGAGCAAAGCCTGGTCCATGCTGAAACAGCTTGTGGGCAAATAGAAGCCGGTCTTGTGCAAGGCGGATGCGAGGTTCAAGGAATTTGGCCTGCGTAAACACTTGCCCGTCCGTCAACTTTGCCTCTGTTGGCCTCTCCCCTGCTGCCCAAAAATCATGGATAATTACTTCTGAATGCCTGTCAATCAAAAGACCAAAAACACAATGATGCACCAGGGAAATATCCACATGACTGATCCCTATCATTCACTATCATTCATTACCCATATTCAATTCCCAATCGGATCCCCATGGCAGTCCATGGCCCCAATTTTTCCATGCGATCCACTGAAGCTGTCCGCCTAGCAATGCCATGTAGAGCACCACACCAGCAGCATAGATGTCCACCTTACAGCCATACCTGGCGACGAAATGCGGGGGGTAATCGAAATGATGTGGCAAAACGATATATAACAGTAACGTTAGCTTAAGAAATAGACTCATAGACATACAGTAGTATGGTACTCCTGCTGCTGTGCCATGTCTAAACCAAATATTGCAAAGATGTCTGTCTGGCATGATGGATTGTGCTGGGTCGAAACAAAATATTGCTCACCCTCACCCTTTGAAGTTAGCGCCTAACCGTGCCTAACCTTTTCTCTGCAAAAGATTCAGAAGTCGCAGTTTTCAAGTTGTGGGCCCACCAGTTGTGTCAACAGCCTTGACCGAGAACACATGCTTCATCCTGCATGGTCCGACTGCATACGTTGCAAGCTGGGTCTGACAAGTTGAAGACATTCAGAGGATTGATTCTTGACAGCGACAAATCTTATGGCTTGTCTACAAATCTTGACAAGACCAAGCGGATGAAGGATTGGGGCTTTAGAAAACGGAGAGCCATCCGAGTGCTGCTCACTCGATCTGTCTCAGCCGGAAATCAATTGGTTTCTTAATTGGAAACATATGGCAGCCAACTATGCGGCTGGCATTTCCTTGAGGAGTGAAGACAGAATTTTAAACTTTAAACATTCTTGAAACGCAATCGGTTCTTCGGATTCGGACAGCCAATTTCAGCTAGTGCAGCAAGTTCAAAGCACTTGGGAGGATTTGGCAATTTTAAGATTCTAGCTGGGTCTATGTCACAAGGGCACGCAAAGCTGCGCGGGTGTCCGAAGAATTCCGGAATTTATCAAAGTGAAAAAACAGTCAAACATCCCGTGTCGGTGTCGGGTTCTTCCTGAGACTCGAAGGAAAAATGGTTCTGTCGGAGCTCGTGCAGCGCCTCCAGGACATCCGATGCAAAAAGATCGTTGCCAGCCAAATCCATCAAGGCAGTGGTATTCATCCGCTCCAAGCTACGATAAAGCTTCACCTGACGAACTTTCTTCTGCCATTCTTCACTGGAGGCTGGCGCCAAATAGTCTTTCAGCAGCTCAATGATGTTGACAGAGTATGGGTCTCCAAGCCTCTCTAGCTTCCGAATTATGATGGGCACAATGATCTCCAAACGCTGTCCTACACAAGGCGCAAAAGTGAAGCAACCAAAACAGCTACAGTGTGCAAAGTCACTGGGTCACGAGCTTATGAACACGCACCATGTTTGCAGCATTCTGCAGCCATGGCCATGAACCTAATTCCAAGGAATCAGATCATAAACAATCATCTTTGGACGGTAAAGTATTCACCAATGTGCATTGCTGTGGGATCAGTCTTGTGCTGTGCCGTCAGACTCAAGCGCTAGCAGAATTATTTTTAGAATTCAGTCCTCGGTCTGCGTGCTTCAACATGAGGCGCTGGCACTTGTGCAATCTCACCTGGTTGGTGGTTTCAACCCCTCTGAAAAATATTTGTCAGTTGAGATGATTATTCCCAATATATGGAGAAATAAAAAATGTTCCAAACCACCAACCAGTCACTTTCTTGCCGTGTGTCATGTGGCAAAAGCCACATGCAAAACCAAGATGGCATGTTCCGTTCTTGACGATTTGAACGCAAGGTGGTCGGCAAGTTTCCTTGGTCACAGGTTTGACTTGCTCACCTATTGGCTCCCCTATCCATCTGTTTACAACCAGCTGAAATCGAGCTTCGAGGATAATTAATGATGATGGGGAGTATGAGGACAAGCAGGAGAAGTGTGAGAATGATAGTCGATGATGCAACTGATGATTTGGTTGATGATCATTGATGATCCTTGGCAATCGTTGATGATTTATTATTGATAATGTTTGTTGATTGATGATTGATGATGGCGATGGCGATGGCGATGATGATGATGATGATGATGATGATGATGGAGATGATGATGATAATGATCATGATGATGATGATGATGATGATTAATATGACGAAGAAGAAAAATAAGAAGAACAGAAGAAGACGAAAAAGAAGAAGAAGAAGAAGAAGAAGAAGAAGAAGAAAAGAACAAAAAGGAAAAGAAGAATAATAAAAAGAAGGCAAATATGTTGATAGTGATGATGATGGCGATAATGATGATAATGCAGCAGAACTGTCACTGTTGACAACATGGGAGGAACAAGTGCAGAGAAAGTGACACAGTGTCATAACACATTGACATGCTACATAATGACATCAGCGTGTCATAGCGCGTCTGTCCTTTTGACTTGCCAGCAAAAGCACCAGAAGCAGCATACGGTTCTACCCGTCCCAAGTTGTTTCAAATGAATTTGTATAACTGCATCATTACATGAAATCTGGGTAAATTATACTGTCATAATTCACGAACCTGAAATCAGGCTATTGTGGGATAGTAGTTACCGTTGCCAGCCATCATTCCAGTGAGGTTGCAGGTTCGGAATCAATTATACCCACATTATTGCACGAAATGCACTCTGAAGACTACACCACTGCACTACAACCAGTACCAGCTCCATTCCAGGTTTCTGGGTGTCCAAAAGAGCCATCGCTCGTGACAATTCTGGGCAGGAGTGATGGTCCTGCAGCTGAAGCTTGAAAAGGTATTGGTATAGAATTACAAGATGATTCTGTATCAATGCAATTCATATTTAGTAAATGCTCGTACATCCACACTGGCAGATTGCCATCGGATCATGGAACGCCACCAAGGCTGTCATTTTGCAGCAACAGAATCTGCGTCTGGCCTGCGGATGTCATCACACTGCGCGACGTCGGCACTTACCTAGCCGACCTAACCCTCGTTGAAGTGATCGAAGAACCAAATGGCTGCGCCAAAAGTAATTTGCTACGGCATCTACAACTTGTTGGCCAACTATGAGGTACCACCAAAAGTAGTTCTCACAAGTAGATTCCAAAAGGAATGGTTCAAACGCAGCTCCAGTCCGGTGGAACTGCTGGCAGCAGGACCATTTTGCAACGGCTTCTCGCCATTTTCCTCTCTGGCGCTCTGGTCCTGGTTTTTTTGCGAAAGGAAGCCATAAGCGGCGGTTGAAGGAACGATTAAACATATATCAAACACACCAGACGAATTCCCTGCACATCACACGCAAAAGAACTGCTCACAACTCCTGCGAGATGCACATCCAATATGGAAGTCTTAACGTGTTCAAGCGACAAATGATTAAGACTATTGGTGACGACCTGTGACTACTGACAGCGACATAGGCATTGCGGCGTTGGCGTAATACAATTTATGCTTGCGGTTCGAATTTGAGACCAGGTTCGATGTGGAGGTCGTACAATTTACACAGTGCAGTTGTCCGCAGTTTCCACAGCAGGCGCCAAGAATGCAAAATGATCACTACATGTGAAAGTCAAATGACTCGCTCGTTGTACCCACCAGTGATACCCCGGAATCAACCCAGGGTTAAAAAAAATGGGATCTTTGGGACCGAACCCTAAAGGTCCCGCGCAGTGAGGACCAAACTGTCCAAACTGTCGTGCTGAATCGAAAGGCAATGCCAGGATCTTGCCCGCACAACCAACTACACTCCAGCAATGCTGACCTCCAGTCTCATCAGTTTGTGAGCCTTCGATAGCTGCTACTTATCCATGGCTTCACACAAATCCAAACATACTGAGATAAACTATCAATTTTTGCTGGTTAGATTCCCAATTCTGTTGGTTAGACTGTATTTGGCACACATCGATGTACATCGACTTTTTGTAAAAATACTTTCGCAAAACTTTGTTGGTTTAGAGGGAAATCGGAAGATCAGCCTGGAGGATTTCCGGAGGGTCCCGAAGGTTCCTAGGTTAAATTGGCCCGAGTTGATATCTGCCACAGTGCACACTGGCGACGCCTTGATAACCAGGGCCAGGCCTAAAAACAAACATACGTGGAGAGCAGACTGGCACTTTCTCGGCAATAAACACAGAGGACTTTTCTACGATCCAAGAATGCCATGATTGTGCCATGAGAACTGGAACCAAGAGATTCAATGAAGATGATTTTTACAACTTGAAACGGTTCATGCATGTTCATGCAATATATTTTAGCATGACGCTCTACCACGTTTTCTTTAGAGCTATTTTGTCCAAGTTTGGGTAATTATTGACCCTAAGTTTGGTAATTATTGTCCCTAAGTTTGGGTAATTATTGTCCCTTTAAATTTCCCAAATTTGGGGTCAAAAAATCGCACTATAAGGGGTCAAGAAAACGTGGTTGAGCGCCACACGGGATAATTCTGCATAAGTACTATGAATATAAATTCAGAATCTGCACAGCGGCGTGGCAGATGCAGTGGCACCTTTTTGAGCTGGCAAAAGAGCGCTCTGCGGCGCGATCATAATGACTGCTATGCATGTGCAAAACATCCAAGTGCAAAGCTGCAAAGATGGAAACCTGGTGTTTACCTGCCAGTTTCACACCCCTCCTCAGCTTGCACTGCTTTCTTTGCTGCCGCTTTGCGGCGATGACGTCCCTCTCTGATTCTGTTCTTGGTCTCAATGGCTTCTTGGGTTGGTCGCAGCTGCCACATTCCAGTAGCTAACACCTCAAGCAAGGGTTCTCGCTCGCAACCGTTCTTCGTCAGAACATCTGCGACCATCTGAGCTGTGTCGCACCAATGAGCTCTGACAGTGCCATCATCGTCATAGTTCTCGCCTCCCAGCAATTCACGAACTTGACAAACCAAGATCTTGACCCTCTTGTCGGAGGGCTGACCAGCATCACGGTTCAGCGTAGCTTCCAAGGACTTCGCATCGGTAAGGGCACAAATCATGCTCTTGTAGAAAACGCGGTCAAGGTCCAACAAACTTACGCCAGGGTGCTTGATCTCTAGAAGGAGAGTACGGACGTAATCAGCCGCCTCAGTGGCAGACAAAAATCCGTTGGCCTCGGCTGCCAACGTACTCCTGCATACCCTCTTGATACTTCCGCTGTAGGTCTCCAAAATGAACATGGGCGTAGGATCACCAGAAACCATGGAGGGAAGAGAGAGGCCAACAATGTAGCCGCACTGGCTGCGCATCTTCGTGGTGTTGGCAAAACTGCTGTCAGACATGCAAAACACGATCAAATAATCAAATCATCAAACTTCAGATCCTTGTGCTTCACAAAATTCCATTTGAAGTCATAGCTATCCTTCAAAACCTTGACAACTTTGTTGAGCTCAATCACATCTTTGATGGTGGGGCTTCCCATGGTTTGTGATGCTAACGAAACGTTCACCAAAACATCTGGTCGTGTTTGACGGGCTATCCATCCAAGTGACCCAATCAGTCCTCGAAAACTGGACTTCTCCTCATCGGTGAGGGGTGCTTTTCGGAGCACCATATAGTCCACGCTTTCGATGGCATCCATCTGGTCCAGGGAGACCGTGCCGTCAGGATGTTGGAAAACGTTCTTGCCACAGAAACGAAAATCGCCAACCTTGCGCTTCAAGTGGATCTCGGTCTCAAGGATCTTGAGAGAGTCCTGATACTTCTTGCCAAAACCTGTGCAATAAAGATCATCCACATGAGCTGCCAAAACTCCGACGAGGGATCCGGCTTCAAACATGAAAACAACGCAGCTTCAAGGCGAGACATGATCCAACCATGCTTGATCAAGGTGTTATACAACTTTCTCCATTCTCCACCAACTTCTGCCGGCATCTCGAGTTCCATAGATGCTCCCCTTCGCACGCAAGAGATCAAAGGGAGTCACTCCAGGTGGTGGTGGCCGTGGCGGCCTGAGCAGCAAAAGTCGAGCAATGCCTTGAGACTGGAGATAGGCTGTGCTGGCATCATACGCTTCTAAAATCCATTGGAAGATCACGGAGATGGCTGTCACAAGGTTGAAGGCCAGGAGAGATGCTGTCGGTGAATCTGAACGTATTCCTGCATCTCGTTCTTGGCATCCAATGACTACCATTCTGGATTTGGCTTCAAAAGGGTATTCGCGTTTGATCTGCTCATCGGTCTTGCCCGTCTTCTTCTTCATGGCACCAGCCATAAGTCGGGGCTTCTGGTTCTTGTTCGGTGTGAACCCAACGCGTGCCAATGATTTCTGCGTCAGCGGGCAATGAGCTGATCTGATCTTCCGTCAAAACCTCCACAGCGTTGAACTTTTGGAAGGAAGCCCATTCTTTGGCCATTGACTTCTCAAACTTCTCCCTGTCCTCGGTGGAAAGGTCGTTGAGGACAATCTCAGACTTCACGGCCTTTCCTGTCAGGAGGGCCTCATGCTTTGGATTCTCTTCAGGGCAAGAAGAGTCTGAGTCGCTGGAAGTCTCGTCTTGTAAGTCAGAAAGTCCATGGAGACGACGGAAGGAAATTGATGCTGAGAGATCATCACAGCCATGCGGCCAATCGTTTTCTTCATCTCCAGCATCATTGATGTAGGGTCCAGTGTAGACCTTGGCAGTCTGGTGAGGGCCATAGGCCTGTTGCTGTCTAGGGGGTCCGTATGATGCCCTCGGTTGTTGTGCCCGGTGGCCATCAAGCCTGTCTGGCTGTCGGATGGCAGAAGCCAATGACGGTTGCTGGGATGACTGAGAGGAGGAAGCAGCCTGTGGGGCATTAAGTCATATTAAGTCCAAACCCCTGGGCATCAAGTCCAAGCCCTTGGGCATTAAGTCCAAGCCCATCAAATCCAAGTCCATTTTCTGGCTGCATACCACCAACGGGTGTTGGTGATGGTTCAGGCTCAGCGGAAGAGACCTGACGGTCAGAAAGACCCCTCCTTGTCCCAGCATCGGCACTAGGCTGTGGAGCTTGTGATTGTTGGGTCGCAGCAGAGGCTGCAGGCTGAGACACCACGGATCGTCCACCAGGTGGTGGTTGCGTAGTCGGCATTCTGAGGTGGTGTCGCCGACCCAATCTGCGACTAGCTCTCGGCCTCTGTCTTGTCGCCAGTTGTCAGCGATGGTGTCTGTGAGGACATGATCTCGCATCTCAGCTTCGTAGATCACCTCGGTGACTCGCTGATCTTGTAGTTCTTCAACTGGGACGGGGCATCCGTCGGCTTCAGGCGTGTAGAGGCTACGCCGTGGAACATTGTGGACCCTGATGATGCGCCCGTCGGGATGAGTTTGCCAAAAATCATGTTTGACGACCCCACCCCCTGTCAGCTGTTGCTGAGGCAAAGATTGTGGAAGCAAGAGCTGATGTCGGACGTCAACAGAGTTGCGGGCTCCACGTTCACTTCCACGTTCAACAGCATAGTGGGGCACGTAGTGCGCTGCCAGAAGCTCATCTTCAGAAGCAAAACGTAGTTGTTCGCCACTGGCAAGCACAACACTGGGTCCATACCTTAGCCAGTAGCTATGTGGAGCTGAGCCATCAGTGCCAGGATCTCCATCCTCAGTGCGCCTGGGATTGCGCAATTCAACGCCAATGACGCGGGCAGGCCCATACCAATTGTAGGTTCGCCCAGTTGAATGCCGTTGAGGTTGCCGTCGGTAGAAGTAGACGTAGGAGCCAACAGGAAATGGTCCTCGTGTGGGTGTGCTCTGTCTGAGCAATGCCCTCCTCACTCGGCTGTCTGTGTCAAGGCGGATCTGAGCCACTCTGGCTGCTTCACGGATGGAGAGGTTCTTGGCCATGGCACTTTCGGGGTTCTCTGCAGCCTCAAGCACTTCCAACTGTTGGGACTCATCAGA